CCCATGCCTCTACCCCCTCGCCCGTTTTCCCCATTTTGGGCCTCCTGGGAGGCCCTCGTCGCCACCGCTGGATTCGCCTCGAAATCCTGGTCAGAACGCACCCCGGGAGAGGTCTGGGGAGTAGCGGTATCGGTACCGTTTGGTTTCCCCAAAATCATGGGAGCCTGGTATACCCTCGTAATTCTGTCTCTAGCGTCGATTAACGTCGATGAGCGTCCGGGAGTTGATAGGATAGCACTGATTTAGCGTCGGTGAGCGTCGATTGGCGTCGATTTAACGTCGATTTAGCATCGATTAGCGCCGATTTGCAAGAGCCGACAAGATGGTATGGGAGGCTCCCATGAGTTGCCACCGAGCTTGAGATCTGGGCGTAGCAGTTATTCACACCGGGCGGTTTCGCCAGGTTTCGGGCCCCGGGGCCCTTTCGGGAGCATTGAGACGGGGGTCAGTGCAAACGGGGGTCAGCCAGAGCGCCGGAGCCTGCAGGACCCTGCGAAGACCCCCTCTGGCTGACCCGGGTTAGCGAGCCGCTCGTGGCCGCGAGGCGGCCGCGCATATTTGCTGACCCGGGTCTGCGAAGATCAGCGTTGCATTTTTTTTTTCCTGCACTGCAGTTTTTGGTTTCCTGCTGACCCGGGTCTGGGTTGACCCGGGTCAGAAGATCCCCGACCCTTGCAGATCGATCCAGCTCGAAGCATGCGGCATAAAGATGGGGTCTAGGGCTCTGGTTGTGATTTGTCTCGATCTTGCATTTTTCTCGCAGCGTCGGACCCCAGGAGCTGGCCCGGGCCCTGGCCTGGACCGCCGACACCTGGCCCCAGCCTGGCCCCAGCCTGGCCCCCCGACCCCCCCGATGGGGCTGGAGCATGTGGACTCGGAAGGTTTCCCGCGTCCATCAGACCGTGCGGTCTTCATCTGCATGTGGCTGCCCCACCTAGTCCGCCCGGAGGGTTTGTCCGAAGGGCTTAGGCGACCCGTCCTCCTCCTTCCTCCCCTCCGCCTCCTCCTCCTCCTCTCCTCCTCCTCTCCCTCCTCCCTCCTCCTTCCTCCTCCTCCTCCTCTCCTCCTCCTCTTCTCCCCCTCCCTCCTCCCTCCTCCCTCTCCTCTCCTCCTCCTCCTCCTCCCCCTCCTCCTCCTCCTCCTCCTCCTCCTCCTCCTCCTCCTCCTCCTCCTCCTCCTCCTCCTCGGGTTGCCTACGGCCCCAGGGGAAACCGTGCAAGTCCACCCACCTGCTACGCAAGGTGGTAATTCGCTTGCGCTGGACCAGGCTTCACACATCGCGACGGTGTCGTCACCGCGCCGCTGGAGGAGAAGAGTTGAGTGTCGCGTCGAATCGCCGATGCATCGGCGATGCCGCCAGATCCTCCGACCCCATCTGCTCTGGCTCAACTTGGGAGGCCCCCAAACTGAGGGTGAAGCACGGGAAGCCCGAAGAGGCCAAGCGCGGCCAGTTCCCCCAGCAAGGATGAGAAATCGAGGAGGGGATAACCATTGTCGGGGTCTCTCTGCCGACGTCGGCGTTTCCGATGGACGCTCTTCGGAACGCTCTCCCGGGCGTCCCTGGACACGTCACTGCGGGTTCCCATGATCCACAACACACGGGCCCCTTTCGTCCTGAAGCCCGCGGGCCCACTCAACACCTCAGGGCTCGCTTAGCACTGAGGTTCCTTTCGCCTATATGCCTCGGGAGGCGTAAAGCACGCTGACTCCATTCCTCCGCAAGCCCAGGGCCTCGGGGCCCGGGCCCACACAGCACAGGGGTTCTGTTCGTGGGTCCTGGAGATGCAGGGGTTGATTTCGCCTGTGAGCCTCGGGGCCTGCAGAACACATGGTTTCATAAAGCCTCGGGGCTCGCCAAACCGCACGGTTCTTGTCGTCCGTGGGCTCCGACCACCAAGACACAGGAGCGCCTCTCGTCTGCAAGCCTCGGGGCCCACCGCAGGGGTTTCTTTCGTACGTGGGCGTCAGGACCCACGACACGAGATCGCGTAGGCCGCGGGGCCCGCAGAGTGAGACCCAGGACGCACCATTCTCAAGCGGGCTCGCTCGCAGTGCACTTGGGACGGTCCCGGGGCCCGCCACTGCCTGTCCCTGGGCCGCGCCATCCCCATCGGCGGGCACGCGCGACATGCACCAGGAGCGGCGCGCTCACACTGCACCTGCTGCCAGGACGGTCCCAGGACACACTTGTCCGATCTGGGGACGCACAGTCGTCGGGCTGGCGGATGAGGATCCAGCGCGAACCCAGGTGGGCCCAAGACAGGGGCCCATGACCCGACAGGAGGCATTCCGTGCCGTCTTTCTTCCCAACCCTTCTGCGTTGGGCTCTTGTTTTGAATAGGGCACTGCGATCGCAACTCCTCGTCCTTCTCCCGCCTCCATCCTCCTCTCCTCCCTCCTCCTCCTCCTCCTCCTCCCTCCTCCTCCTCCTCCTCCTCCTCCTCCTCCTCCTCCTCCTCCTCCTCCTCCTCCTCCTCCTCCTCCTCCTCCTCCTCCTCTCTCCTGGCTTGTGCCTGCTTGCCGGCCGGCCTCTTACTTCGCCATCCTTGGGGGGCTGCGATCTGCGAAGTTGTCACCACTTTCGAGGGCCGCTGGGGTGTGACGCCCCGCCGCGGATCAGATTAGACCTCGCCATCTCTTGGGGGCTGCGGTCTGCGAAACTCGCGCCTCTTGTGAGGGCTCCTGGGACGTCCAGCCCCGCCGCGGCTCAGAGTAGACTTCGCCATCCCTGGGGGCCTGCCATCTGCGAAACTGCCCGCCGCTTTCGGCAGCTGCTGGGGTGTCCAGCGAAATGACGCCCCGCCGCAGATCTGAGTAGGCTTCGCCATCCCCGGGGTGCTGCCATCTGCGAAATTGTCGCTACTTTGGGGGGCTGCTGGGGTGTCCAGCGGAGTGACGCCCCGCTGCGGATCAGAGCAGACCTCGCCATCCCTGGGGGGCTACGATCTGCGAAACTGTCGCCACTTTTGAATGCCTGCCGCAGACCCAGTTCAGACCTCGCCATCCCTGGGGTGCTGCGAACTGCGGATCTGCTGCCACTTTCGACGGCTGCTGGGGTGTCCAGCGGAGTGACGCCCCCGCCGTAGACCCAGTTTAGACCTCGCCATCCCTGGTGTGCTGCTGTTGCCACTTTCGAGGGCTGCTGGGGGGTCCAGCGGAGTGTCGTCACGCCGCAGATCGGGGTAGACGGGTATACCTCGCCATCCCTGGGGGGCTGCGATCTGCGAACCCATCGCCACTTTCGAAGGCTGCTGAGGGTGTCCAGCGGAGTGACGCCTCGCCGCGGATCAGATTAGGCCCCGTTATCCCTGGGGGGCACCGAACCGCGGAACCTCGGCGGCGAGCGAGGGGGGGAAGTGAGAATGAGAAGGCCTCCTCAGAAGGCGGCGGGACTTCTCAGAAGCCCTCGCTCCTTCTGAGAAGTTTTTTTGGTCTTCGGGGAATGCTTAGAAAACTTCTCAGAAGGCCGGCCGGGGGACTTCCGAACCTTCTGAGAGGGCCTTCTCTTTCTCACTTCCCCCCCGTTCGCTGCCCAGAACCATCGCCATTTTCGAGGGCTGCTGGGGGGTCCATCGGAGTGACGCCCCGCCGCGAATCAGAGTAGACCTCGCCATCCCTGGGGGGCAGCGACTTGCGACACTGCCATCACCTTTGAAGGCTACTGGCGTGTCCAACGGGGTGACGCCCTCCGCAGACCCAGATTCGACATCCCTGGGGGGCTGCCATCTGCGAAACTGTCGCCACTTTGGCGGGCTGCTGGGGGTCCAGTGGAGTGACGCCCCGCCGCATACCCAGAATAGACCTCGCCATCCCTGGGGGGCTGTGAACTGCGAAGTCGTCGCCACTTTAGATGGCTGCTGGGGGTGTCCAGCGGAGTGACGCCCCGCCGCAGACCCAGATTCGACCGCGCCATCCCTGGGGGCTGCGAGCTGCGAAACTGTGGCCACTTTTGCGTGCGCGTATAGTTGCCGCAGTGTCTCGCGCACTCCGTCTCCGCTTGCGGAGCGAGGTGCCTCCATGTGCTCCTCGACCGGGTTTGACTTGACGTGGGGGTCCAGCGGGGTGACGCCCCGCCGCAGACCCAGATTCGACCCAGGCTGCCACCTGCGAAATCATCACCACATTTGAGGGCTGCTGGGGTGCAGGGGGGTCTAGCGGAATGACGTCATACGCCGATCCGCATCGCACCTTCCCATTTGGGGGGAGGGCTGCGAATTGCGAGGCCAATCGCCTTGTTCGAGGGCTTCCGAGGAGTCCAATGTAGTGGCTCCCTACGTGGGTTCAGTTGATCATTGTGAGGTACAGACAGGAAGGTGGGAACCTGGCGGGCGTGCTCGGCCTCGCTCTCTTCTGCATCTTGCATTCGCTCTCTGCAGCCATTCCTGTCGAGCACCAGGGCGACATGGCGCGGGCCGCGCTTCTTGTCCAACGAGCTGCTGGAAAATGATCGCCACCCTTGCTGCCTCTTTCGTTGTCGTCCTCCTCCTCTTCCTCTTTCAAACGCCTCCCTGCTGCTGTCGCGTGAACTGTTCGCCTCCTCGTGCGGCCTTGGCCTGCACCCCGTTCCCACCCCCATTTCCTCTTCGAGCCTGGTGCCCTGTTCCAGGAGGAGGAGGAGGAGGAGGAGGAGGAGGAGGAGGAGGAGGAGGAGGAGGAGGAGGAGGAGGAGGAGGAGGAGGAGGAGGAGGAGGAGGAGGAGGAGAAGGCTATCTGGAGGTCGCCCTTACCAGCCTGGACCCTCGTCCTTCTGTTGCTGTCCTGTCATGTCAGTCGTGCAGCGCGCGCGCCTCCCACATAGCTTGCGCCACCAGTGGTGTTGTCATCAGCCATCGTATTCTGGATCAGCTCCTCCTTCCATTCAGTGGCGGTGGGCTGGGTACGTCGAAGGGCCACTTTTGACCTCTGTCGGAGCTGCTTTGGCCAACGGTCCGGGAATGCACAGCAGGACAGCCTGTAGGCAGTTCTACTTGGAACAACACCGCGTGCCGTCAAACTTCCAT